GAAAAATAACTTGACCTTTGGAGACATCATTAATATAAATAATTTTTATGGCCGTTGAATAAGAAGTGTTTCTTTCACAAGAAATGTATAAAATTAGTGCTGTATTAGACTTACGGTACCTAATTTACATACTGTACAGACGATAAACTCAACTTATTGCCTAAAATCTCCGTAGCATGGTGCCACGCTAGACGGCGGAAATTATATATTTAATTATAATAAAGTTACAATAAGTTAGTATATAATTATATATACAGTACCTAATTTATATATAATTAATATATAATTATATGTACAGTACCTAATTTATATATAATTTATATATAATACTGTACAGACGATAGCAAACTCAATTTAGCCACTCCGTAGCGTGGCGCAGGGCAGAGGAAAGTAGTTCGGCTGCTCATCCACTATTGGTCCAGATTCTATCAATCTTATCGCGAAACGAGTCGGCGACGACGTTTTAGGAGCTCCTTTATACGTATGTTGCTACAATTTTTTCTCTACGTTATAGGAATTTCCGTTATAGGAACGCACATTATAGGGGGGGTCGACTGTATCATAATTTAGAGATTTTAATTCCATAGTGTTAACTTCATAAAATTATTTAACCTTGACCTTCAACCTAAAAACTATTAGTTTCTTTATTGACAATTCATATTAACTATTATTCCCCAAGGAATTTGTATTAACACGAGTTGACTGTATATAGAATAGACAAAGAAGAATGTGCAGAAGAATCAGGCATGTTGTAAGAAATCAAAGATGCCTGCAAACCATCTGAGTGACATGCCAAGACCCAGACAATTTAATGGGTCAGTGCAAGTATCCTATTCTGTATCCTGTCAGTAGCCTCTCCAAGGTCTTGCCCTTGAAGAATCTAATAATAGGGTACAGAAGGCTTGTCTAGAAGTCCTAGAAAGAAACAGGTTGTAATAAACCTTACCGGATAATTTAGTGTATCCAATATATGCACATTATGATGCCTAAAAGAAGAAAGATTTCATTGGATACATCATGTGATTAATGCTAAAACAACTTTCTATGAGAGAACCTCATATCACACCAGCTACTAGGCAAAAAAAATTACAAGATTATTAATAGCAGCAGCAATAAAATTTGATGGCAAAGTGCATACGGCTGATGACAATATTGAAAAGATCTCATCAAAAACTGCCACATAATGTTGACTTGCTTATTACAAATGCCTGTGAGAAATTATCTATTTTATTTTTTCAATCCTAAATAAGATAAATTTAAAGGAAATAGNAAATCAAAATTAATTAATTAAAATCAAACCAATTGAAAATTAAAACAATGTTTTAAAAAAGTTTAAAAAAGTTGTTTTGAAATTTTCAAAAATTGTAAATCAAATTACAGTCGACTCCCCTCTATAACACTGTTGATTATTCCGTTTTATATGAATTCCATGTTGTATGAGTCACTTAGATTTTACAAATACGTGAGCCATTCACAGCCCTGCACACCTATTTGTAAAATCTAAGTGACTTGTACAACATGGAATTCATATAAAACGGAATAAACAACAGTGTTATAGAGGGGTTGACTGTAATTTTTAAATTTATGTTATTTACGTGTGGCAGTGGCAGAACATTTTGCATTTAATATATATAAAGAACAGATACAGAGCTGCTGAAAAATCATTTGTATAGCTATTACAACTTTCAACTTGGAATACAGCAAGAATAATCAGTAATTACAGCTGGAACAAACTTCTCTTAAAAAAATAACAATACAAGATTGCTACACACACAAAATTTAAATCCAGACAGAATATTACGAAATTTCTAAAATTTATTTTCTGTCTTATACTCAATTCATTGTGATATTTTATTACCTATTAAACATTATAATTTTGTAATATTTTGTAGGGAAAAATCAGATAAATTCATTTTTGTTAATTTATATGAACAGGTAGACTGCAATTAAAAATATTAATTCCATTCATAATTGAAATTTCTTACAGATTTGTGTGATAATAGGAAAGAATTAACTATCTTTTAGTAAAAATGTCTTAAAACACACAAATTGTATAATAAATGTAACTAATTTACAACAAATAATATTTTACAAAAATTAGTTAAAAATTACTCTATAAAAAAACATGTCATCATACCCATTTTGAATTCCTGCTCTTGCATCTTTAGAAGATTTCACACCAATCATCATTATTGCAAATAAAACGAAAAATAGTGTCAATGCAAAACATATTCTATAAACCGCAAGGTATCCAACAGCTTTATCGCAATCAACAGTTTGACTAAGTAGAGTACTGTTTTTACAGAATGGTACCTGTTAAAATAAATAATAAAAGTTTAAAAGCATATCAAATCAGCAGCAGTTCCAAAGATAAGTTATATCATAGCCAAATTTATTTATTTAGTTTTTTAAATCCTAATAAAAGGAGAGAGAAAAAAATTTAACACAAAATGAAGTTAAAGCTGCCAAATCCATTATCCCGTAATTCCTTTCATAAAATGGGTTGTAGCAAAAATTTGATTTGAAAGCATTTGGGTTATTCTAAACAGAAAGATAGAACACCTGAAAGGCTCATAAATAGAGCTGAAAAACGTTTTCTGATGATTTTAAATAAAATTTTCCAGGAGAAAGGTAAAATTATACTGTTCTAATAAATTTATTAGAAAATAATAATGGTGAGTTTGGAAATTATTTCTGATGTGATTATATCAAGAATGTAAAAACTTATTTGAAAATACAAGTATCCCTCATAACATGGTAGATACATTTCAAAAAAAGTGCCATGTGATGCAAATCTATGCTATATGAAATAAAGGACTAATGCAAAACAGGTTTACATCCCAGAAGTTAGCAAAAGTATACTTTTTCATTACTAAAGCTGTGGTCACACCATGAGATTTCCAGCCACACAGGCAATTGCAACCATGATGGCTGTTCTTGTTAACTAGTAAACCCCCTTTGAAAACCAGTGTGACTGCAACCACAACAAGAAACAAAAAGTTTGTTATACTCGTGCCGATTGCAAATGTGCATTCAATGAGCAAACATCTATTTGCCATGCCATACAGTGGCAACATTGAAAATACTGTAGTTAGAAAATACTGGTGGAAAGCAAGATGATGGATAGTTTAACAGAATCAAGATTAATTCAGTCTCACGAATGCCTGTGAGATTTTAATTCATTTTATCGAAAAAAGGATAAAAGAGTGCAGGCATGGCGTGAGATAAGTGAAAGTCTCGGTATTGATTGTACCATTTTTAGATTTCTAGATATAAAATGCTGATTGTTTTTAGTTTGGTAATGACAATATTGTTTTAAATACAGCTAAACTCATGAAAGAAGTCTAAAACAAGCTACTGTAATTTTATTGGTTTATTTATTATAGGGTCACATGTTTCAAGTTGCAACACCAGCAAACAATGTGTGATGCATGCGACTCGTGCTTATTGCAGTTGTGGTCACCTGCATGGCTGGAAATCTCATGGTGTGACAACAGCTTAAGAGAAATGTTTATTAAAGCAATCAATAATTAATTAACTATCACAATTAAAAGTATTGTAACATGTGTTACTATTAATTTTAGTTAATCATAGGGCATTTTCTTTTTACAAAGTATTGTTGTCATCTCAGTTTTTTTGTCAATCTTGATCAGAAGCATCAGTAACAATTTCATATTTTTTTTATTTTTAGCATAAAAATTTTTTTTATGAGTGATAAAATAAAAATATGTTATTAATCGAAAATTTGTTCTAGCAAGTTGTGTTTGCTCAGTCAAGCCAAGCAAATTTTCTTCCAGAATTTGTGTTTGAATACTGAATTGTTCAAATCATTCATAAAATTCATAATTTTATGAATGATTGCTTACATACACAGTTAAAAAAAGTTTAATAGCACTTATCTAAAAATGTTTAAAATAACTTTACTAAATACAAAGATTGATCTATAAAAACAAAACACAGTGATGGTATTAAGGGGTAAAGTCTGAAAGCAATGACAATGACACTTGGTTGATAGGAAGGCCAGGACAAATTTTTCTTCTTCCTTGTTTTCATTAAAAAGTAAACCTGATGAAATAATTTGAACATTTCAATATTCTAAAATCTGTGGGCAAATTTGAGACAATATGCATGCTTACTTGAATTGAAAAAATATAAAATAAAGTTTATATTTAATAATTTTGAAATTCTGTATGAAAGATTTCCAAAACCACATTAGAGCAAAACTGAAAGTAATGTTGTCAACTTTCAAACTGTGTTAGAGTGAAACTGTGTTGTACGAGGGATACCTATACTGCAAATAAGAAAATATTAATGAGTTTATATATACTGTGAATAAAATTGTAAAAAAATATAATAATCAAACCTTTTTAACTCATGCTTAAAATATAATAAAAAGTTTTCCAAATTAAAATAATGACCACACTAACTTTATATTTCTCTCAGCAGGATGGAAGAAAACACAAACAACTATTTTCAAAGATGGAATGCATAAAAGAAATATTCATATAAATTCAAATTTTTCAAAAAAGACTTATTACATCAATTAAAACATTCTATCATATAGTGCCTGCTATGCATGGAAAATTTTTTTTCTTCTTTAAAGTTGATATATGTTCCGTTTTTCAGCTTTAAATATACTAGCAACTCCAAAATCTTGAGATGTTTCATTTTGTTTGTTTTATAATTAATCTCGCTTGTTGTAAGTCAACTTGAATATTGTTTTCATTAGCATATATTGAAAAGGTAGTGAATTACTTTTTATTTTATATAGCCAATTTGTGTTCTATTTAAGGCAATCCACTGCACTTTCAATATATGCTAGAGAAAATGATATTAAACCAGCAAGAAAAGCAGGAAACATGTATCAACTCTGAAGAAAAAAACCAAATTTCCCCATACATGACAGGTCTATATAATACAACATTACAGAAAACTTATACTACTAAGAGTGGAGACACCACTGATTAAAAATTTTAATTAAAATTTATATGAATATTTTCTTCTGTGCATTCCATATTTGAAAATTGAAGTAATTTCATCAACCTGAAGCAGGTTTTAGAAAGAGACCAAAAGTGCTTGTTTCGTGTTAATTTTTTCACCATTCTGCTAAGAAAAATATACGCTTAGTGTGTTCATTTTATTATTTACTTTCCCAGTTAGTGAAAAAGTATAACATTTAGATCTTCCAAATTGAAATTATCAGAAAAATTGTCTTTTATTATTAGCATTTCATTCATATTAATTATTAAAAAGTTTTCTCAAAATAGCATCAATAATCTTCAAACAGAGTATCAACTTCTTCATAAATGAATATAATTAATTATCAAAAGTTTAGTTTTGTCCCAAAACTACAATACAATCTTGTTTTATATAAGAGTGATATATATGGATTCATATTTTTTGCAGATGGTAAATGGTTAAATTAACCATTGGCAACACAAGGATAATTCTGACCATTAATGCAAGCTGTCTATAACTATTTTTATTGTGAAATTCAGTAAATGCACTTAAAACGTAAGTGTCCAATAATTATTTGGGAATACTTGGTATGGAGCACAAATTTATGAGAGTTTCATTTTATGAAGCATTTGCTAATATATAATTTTCTATGTAAACCAAGACCATACTGTATTATGCAAACAATGTAGTCATTGCTGAAAATTAAACTAGAAATTATTATAGTCAAATACATTTCAAAATTGAAATTCTAAACATTACAAGTGAAAACATTAATAATGTATTGATATGATTTATCATTACCATAATTTAAAATTAAAATGTTTTGAAGAAAATTGCATAAACACAAATTACTGAAATATATCTTACACTTACTTTTTGTAATGTCTCTGTCAATGATGGTGACAACATGATGCAAGCGACTATAGTTGTCAATAGCAACATTACAGCATACATAATACGTGTAGAGGTTGAATTCTTGCATGATGGACAAGCAGAACAGCATAAACCACATGCAGCACTCCCACAACAACAAGCCAACTAAATAAAAAATATATTTTTTTGATCTGTAAGACTAAATTTATACATCCATAAATCCAGTATAATAAGTCCTGTTAATTTATAAAGTACTAGTATACATGATAAATATTAAATTCTATTAACTAAATTCCATCCTTGTACATAAGCAGGTAAACCATACATGAAACCAAAACACTGTCTTATTCTTCTAGAAAGAACAGTAAATTCACAGTCTTTTCGTAAATTTCACAGTAAATAAACTTTTTATCAACGTAGGTTAAAAATCTACGTTAATAAAAACATTTCGAAGGTTCAACAATTATACAACTGCCAGGATGTTTAAAGTTAATATCAGTCATTCTTCTCATATTTAGTAAATTTATAAAATTTCAATCCAAAAGTTATCACCTTAAACATTCACAAATCCTTTTTATTCTTTTTTACACAAATTTCTTTCGTAACTCCTGCACATTGCTCAAACCAATTGTATAATTTGTTACTTACATCGCTAATTGTTCCATTATCATTAACTATTATAAAACTAAACTTTTCCCTTTTTACAAACTCCTGTATTAACTGTAAAACAATGCCAGATAATAAGAAAACTGTCTTAAACATGGAAGGAAAAGTTAATTACTTCAGCAATACAAGTGTCCATCGACTTGTATGATTGCGGAAAAATATTAAAAGACATAACATACAAAACACACTTCCAATGCTACACAAAAATACATTTTATCCCGAGTTTGAAATCAATTATGGAGATTATTTTCATTTAATCGGGTGGTATTATGTGAAGGACTCTAAATATTTTTCGTTTTCTTATCTAGTTTTTCTAAAATTTCACTCAATACATTTTTATCTCTTAAAAAGGAGAAACTTATGATATTCATCACCCACTAAAACAAAAATTAAAACCAAATGAATGGAAATATGTGAAAAGACTGCTTTGCTACAATATAAATATTTGGAATTATTATTCATGATAGTTTTTCTTACGANTATATACATATATATATATATATATATGTAAACTCAATATATTATGCATTTGATAAAATGGCCAAGACTATAATTGTAAAATTAAGATTTGTATGTAATAATTGTAAAATTAAGAAAAAATACACAATCATAATCACAATAAGAAAAAATATACAAATCAGTCTTTCAATATCCTTTCTTACACCTCAGGAAAATAACAGTCTTATTGCAGAGGTATATGTTATTTTCCTGAGGTGTAAGAAAAAACATCAAAAGATTCATTTGTATAGTCTTAATTGTGTATTAATTTTTTCAATGTATTAAGTTCATTATTCAATGAGGTTTAAAGTATCAGAAACGCAAAATAATTTTAAAGTATTATATAACAATTTTTGATTTTGTTGTTGATAATACCCTATTATTTTTCTTTTCAACAAAAAATCTTATTATTCATATAATATTAGCAAAAATTACATTTATTTCAAATTTGCTTATTCAGAAAACCTAAGTTTATTTATTAAGTTACTTTCAGATATGTTTTCAATTCCTCTTGAATTAAGTTCAGCCACAAATCCTATGAAATCTATGAATCTTTAATATCAAATTGAATATAGAATGAAATGAAATCTAACCAATGCTATAAAATTGGAATTATGTTATACATCATGACGATAAACATATTATAAACATTTAATTTAATAAATTAAATGAATGCAACTTTATAATAGAAAATTTATAAACAGAATGTTGAATTTTACTCAAAATATGATGATAATTTATTTACTATGCACATGATGTCAATAGTATTTAAGACTAGTTTCCAAATATCACTAATAGTTATTGTATCATTGGCATTAATAACCTTCATGTACTGTACTTAGAAAGCAGTAGATATATAACTGCTCTAGAATTATTATTAGAAATCCTACTCTATGATAAGAGCTAAACCAGCTTATCATAGAATCCCAGAAAACTGTGGCAGCATGGTCCTAGGTCCATTGAGTCAGAGTACTACTAAACATATACTGCATAAAGCTTATTGACTAATATTCTTTTATTCTGATACTCTTATGGCAGATTTGCCTAAATTAAAAATATTCTGATTCTGATAGGCAGTAGAACCTATACAATAAAAATTTTGGTTATTCTGAGTTTTATAGCATAAATTACTTTGTTTTCATTGTTTTATTTGTAGATAGAAAAGTGACACATAGGCAATCTGTCAAAGAGGAATGGCTCCTGGGAGATCTTTTATGGGAAACTGGCCCCTTTTTAACTGTTACTAACATGAAGAAAGCCCCATTATTACATTTAATACAAGAAAACCCCATTATTACAACAGGTTTGTGCCTCTCCAACCTGTTGGAGAGGCACAAACTCATGAGTGATTCAACGGTTTTATCCACTTAACTACTAGTGAGCGGCAAAAATTCCTGATTTTGTTAGTATCGCCATACTGTTTTTGTCATTACATAGCATGGTCATGATTGTAAGGGACATTTTGATAGCTAGAGTAAAATAGAAAGGTATAGCTAGAGTAAAACAGAAATATACAAGAAAACTCAGAAAGACATATCAGAGATGCAGGGATAATGCTGCACGAACTGCACATAAAGAGGCCTATCTCTGTAGTCAAAAACTCTACAATGAAGCCATAAAAGCTGAGAAAATGCGCAGCTGGCACGAATTTTGTACTAATACATCTAAGAACCGATGGGGATTCATAACAAAAATGTGCAGCAATAAACGGAGAAAAACAAAAATTATAACGGACTTAAGTACTGAAGATTCTAACCCACCTACTCTTATCCAAACGTTAACAGCCCAACTGGATGCCTTCTGTCCTGATGACGATCCAGAGGGTGACACAGACTGGCAACATTCTATTCGTGCTGAATTTAGCGATTTAGATGATACAATAGACATTCCACAATTCAAATATGAGGAAATTCAACAGGCCTTCTGTTATCTCAAAAAAAAGGCAAAGCTCCGGGCCCTGACGAAATTACTAATGAAATTGCACTCAAACTGTGGGATCTAATTCCGCAACACTTATTTAATTTATATAATGCCTGTCTACACCATGCAATTTTTCCTTGTGCATGGAAACACGCACGGATTGTCCCTGTCCCAAAATCAGGCTCTTCAAGTGATATGCAACCAATTTCCCTTCTACCCATATTGGATAAGATACTCGAATGGTTGATGACCAACAGGCTCAACTGGCATGTTGAGCATAATAAATGCCCAAGCAATAAACAGTATGGCTTTCGGCCACAATGATCGGCCGAGGAAGCAATTGAATCTATGGTTAATACAGTTAAACATTTACTTGATGGCAACAAATATGTTCTTGGAGTGAGCTTAGACATATCTAAAGCATTTGACTCTGCTTGGTGGCCATTTATTACACATCAATTGCGAAAGTTAAAATGTCCTTGTAACATCCTACAACTATTTCAGGATTATTTAAATGAGCATACTGCAACTATACAGTATGGACATCATCAGGTGAATAAAATCATTACAAGAGGTTGCCTGCAGGGGTCTGTCTGTGGATCCCTGCTTTGGAATATCACTTTTGATGCCTTCCTTAAAGAAACCCTCGGACAAACAGATTCCTTTGCTTATGCTGACAACGTCATAATGCTGCTAGGAGGTCGATCAAGGTCTGACCTTGAGTACAAAGGCAACAACCTGTTACAGCAGATTTACACATGGGGAAATAAACACAAACTTAACTTCAATCCTTTAAAGACCAGAGGTATTGTTTTCAACAAACCAGGTAAACACAACCTTTACCTCAGACCACCACACGTTAAAATGAATAACAACACAATCAAAGTTGAAAAAACTCTCAAATACCTGGGTGTTATACTTGACTTCCGACTCTCGTGGAATAAACACGTGGAATATATCTCTAACCGTACAGGATTTATACTTCAAGCTTTTGCACAAGTAGCCAGAAGAACTGGGGACTATCTGCAGACGCAATGTCCATTATTTATGACAGTATATATATTCCTATCATTACATATGCATGTGGAACTTGGGGATGGGCCACTCATAAGGTACATACTAAAAGGAAACTAGTCTCATTGCAAAGATGCATAACCAAGGCATTCTACTTCTACTCATAACCAAGGCATTCTACTTCTACTCATAACCAAGGCATTTTGAACTGCAAGCAATCAATCCTTATAAGTTATTGCGAAAAAACTACCAATAGACCTAACAGTTATGATGAAAGAGAAATTGCAACAAGCCAAATGGGGTGAAAATATTATGACATACTCTAGAACGATATTACACAATAACGTTGAATGGAACTCTCCTTACTGTGACACCTCTCACCCCTGGTATTCCCTTAAATTACACTTTTGAAAGCAATAACTATGCTGATGTGGATATATATTCTGATGGCTCAAGAATTAACGATTCGGTGGGGTGTAGTTTTGTTGTCTTCAGGCAAGATCACGAAATATACAATCAGACTTATCGTCTTGATGACCACTGCACAGTGTTTCAGGCAGAACTTTTCGCTATTAAAATGAGCATCTATTGGATAAACAGTAATTATAATAATATTTCAGTTCATATCCACACTGACTCTTTATCCGCTTGCAATTTAATTAACAACTCAAAACTACATCCACTTGCAGAGGAAATCAGACATCTTATGTGGTTTTCCAACTGTACTTTTGCTATCACATTGATCAGAGCGCATCAGGGAACGTTAGGCAACGAAAAGGCTGATCTCTTGGCAAAATCTGCAGCTAATGACATCACTGCTCCTATTGCCTATAATAAATATAGTCAACGTACTTTGCGCCGTATACTTTGAGAACATGCTCTTCATTTATGGCAAATTGAATGGGATCGCAATGATCATCATATCACTCATGAATACATTCCTGACCTCTGTAAATTTTTCATGATACAGTGGTATTCACCCACCTACTACACCACGCAGCTGTTCACCAATCATGGCAAATACGCTTCATATCTTGTTAGGTTCACTGATAGAAACTCTGACCAAT